GCCAGAAATTTCTTAAATACAAATTAGTCATATAAGAAAAAAACGCTGATCAACTGGATTTCATAGTAATAAGGACTTTAACTTGTGAAAAGAAACAATTAAGAGTGAAAAGGCAAACCACATACTGAAAGAAGATACCCAAAAAATACACACATCCGGCTACATATTGATAAGAAAAAGACATGAACTTCAAATGTGATAAATAACATCATTGTTCATTAAAGAAATATGAACTGAAACGTCAGTGACGTAGCACAGCATTAGACACCCACTAGAACAGCTATTACTGAAGAGAATGAAATGCTGAATGTTGCCAAGAATGTAGCACACCTTAAATTCTCTTATGCTGCTTGTCAATATAAATCCATTCAGCAATTCTCGAAAAAAAAATATATTTGGTAGTATCTACTAAAACTCCTAACTCAACAAGTCCAGCCCTACACGCAGTAAGGCAACACATGTACTGAAGAGCATGCATAAGCAGCTTCGTTATAGTTATACAACAGAATTCTACACAGCAATAGAAAATAACAAACCAAATTACTTCTACCAAGAGTCCCACAGATAAACATCCAAGATAAAATAGTGATTGGGGCCCAGCGCCGTGGTCTAGCAGCTAAAGTCCTCGCCTTGAACGCCCCGGGATCCCATATGGGCACTGGTTCTATCCCGGCAGCTCCACTTCCCATCCAGCTCCCCGCTTGTGGCCTGGGAAAGCAGTGGAGGATGGCCCAAAGCTTTGGGAGCCTGCACCTGCGTGGGAGACCCGGAAAAAGTTCCTGGATCCCGGCTTCTGATCGGTATAGCATCAGCCGTTGTGCTCACTTGGGGAGTGAATCATTGGATGGAAGATCTTCCTCTCTGTCTCTGTCTCTCCTCCTCTCTGTATATCTGACTTTCCAATAAAAATAAATAAATCTTTAAAAAAAAAGATAAAATAGTGATTGAGAGAAGCCAGACACAAGATACTTCCATTTAAACGAAGTTAAGGAATCAGCAAAGTTACCCCAAAACAAGGCATCCTTTGGGGTGCTGGAAATGTTTGCGATGCTGATCTGTGGTGGTTACCTGCATGCAAACATAGGTACAAACCCAATGAGTTCTATTCTGAAGTAGTACTGTGCACTGGAGTAATGTACTCTACTGAGTATAAACATGTACATCAATACAAAACTAATCCATGAGACACACACACACACACACACACACACACACACACACACACACAATGTTTATAGTACCCAGTGGGAGATAATCCAAATGTCCATCAACGCATGCATGGATAAACACAACCCCAATGGGATAGTATTCACATGTAAAAAGTGAAGCAGAGATACTTGCTACAATGTGCATGAACCTTGGAAATATTATGCTCAGTGAAAGAAGGCAAATACAGGAAGCAAAAATATTATATGGATCCCTGATATGAGGTGCATCCCATTGGCAAACTGATGAACAGAGAGTGGAAGTGCAGTTACAAGGGTCTGTGGGGTTGGGGTGGAGGCAGGGCATGGTCTATTAGTAACTATCAGTAACTAGATAGTTTCATCTGGGGGTGATAAAGTTTTTTTTTTTTTTTTAAGATACACAGAGAGGAGGAGAGACAGGAAGATCTTCCATCAATGATTCACTCTCCAAGTGTCCACAACAGCTGGTACAGCGCAGATCCAAAGCCAGGAACCAGGAACCTCTTCCGGGTCTCCCACGCAGGTGCAGGGTCCCAAAGCTTTGGGCCGTCCTCCACTGCTTTCCCAGGCCACAAGCAGGGAGCTGAATGGGAAGTGGGGCTGCCAGGATTAGAACCAGCGCCCATATGGGATCCCCGGGGTGTAACGTGAGGACTTTAACCACTAGGCCACGGCGCTGGGCCCAAGGGGGTGATAAAGTTCTAGAAACAAATAGTAGTAATGATTTATATCAGTGCGAATGTATCAAATATCTCTTAAATGTATATTTTAAATTGGTTAAAATTATAAATCTCACATCATATGTATTTGCTAATATTTTAAAAATGAAACTGTATACAAAAGAGCACATGTGTATATGAAATTACTGAGACAGTCACAACGAATGCATGCTAAGGTCAAGTGACCTTTAGTAAACATGTGCAAAAAGGAGTCGCTGCACACTTGTTCAGAGTGGTGGCCACACAGCTATGCACACATACAAGCAAAATGGCAAGCTGCAACTTTTACAGCATGTACACAAATTTCTGTCTTAAAGGGAGAAAAATAGAAACTGGCAAAAGCTATTATTCAGGGCCTGGCACAGTAGCCTAATGGCTAAAGTCCTTGCTTTACACACACCAGAATCCCATATGGGGGCTGGTTCTAATCCCGACGGCCCCACTTCCCATCCAGCTCCCTGCTTGTGGCCTGGGAAAGCAGTGGAGGACGGCCCCAAAGCCTTGGGACCCTGCTCCCATGTGGGAGACCTGGAAGAGCTCCTGGTTCCTGGCTTGAGATCTGCTCAGCACCAGTCATTGTGCTCACGTGGGGAGTGAACCATCGAACGGAAGATCTTCCTCTCTGTCTCTCTTCCTCTCTGTATATCAGACTTTGCAGTAAAAATAATAAATAGCTCTTTTTAAAAACATGTTATTCAAACACAACTTGCTGGGGTTTTTAGTTTGTTTTTGTTTTGTAATGATCTCATTGTGGAAACTGGCACTCTCCAATTTTACAGGCTGTCTTTGAGGAAGTCAGCGAAACTGCTTTCTCCCATTTTCCTGGGACAACTAGCAAGCACCTAACTGGACAGCATGTGGCCTGAGCCCCCTCAGAGTGGGCGTGGCAAATCACAGGCTTGCTTAGGAGGTGTCCGGACTTCGGGAGTGGGTGGGAACAGGAAACGGGAGGGGCAGAGCAGATGTTTGCAGCTGCGCATGAGCCACTGGGCAGGTGCTGTCCTGCGCTGCTGAAGCTGTGAAGGGACAGGACTGGGCAGCACAGAGCCCAGCCCCAGATTCCAGGGCAAGTTGCTGTGCCTCGGGGCAGGAGTGGAGAGCATTCCAGCCCTGGGACGGAGTGAGGAACAGCCTTGCGATGTGGCATGTCCTTTTCTGCAGCTTCTCATCACCTTTTGAAATACAGCATCCCTGCTCCCGCTGGCCATGGATAATTTGGAACACTGGACAGAACACCCCTGGTTTGAATACTTGTAAACTGCCAACAAGAACAAGAGAAGTACACCGGGCAGGTGTTGGCCATTGGCCACTTGTCAGTGTCCTTTTCATGGGTCTAAGAACACCTGGTAGACACTTTGCACAGGGTCGCTGCCAGCTTGAGGCTCAGCAGTCACACCAGTGCAACTCTAGTGGCTATAACCTGGGCACGAGAAGTTTCGAAGCCCACAGTTTCCAAAGTCTGAATGAAACAAATGCACCATCATAAGCCTGTGTCAACGTGTGTGTGCATGTAAATGTAATTTTTTTTAAAACTGATGTTCTACTGTATTTTGGATCCACTTGGATTCAACAGTTCATTTGGAGCATTACCCGCTAGTCACTTAGGCTATGGAGCCTAGCCCAGTGCCTGCACAGCAAGACACCAGCCCTTCTGCTTTCCATCCATGGGCCTCCCCCACTACCTTGTGAGGCCCAGCAGCCTCTGGAGTCATGAGATGGTTGGGGCTTGGCTTTACCCCTTCCTCGGGGTGATGGGGTAGGCAAGAAGACTAGGTCATCTGGTGTGAACATGTCCAGGGGCCCTCCTCCCCCAAACTCCTAGCTAAGCATCCAGGTAGTACGCCTGTGTGCCTCTCCCTGGCATGTAACAAGCCTAGGGCAGGGAGAGCTTGCACTCACAGCTTCAGGTTCCCCCAAGGTCAGTGCTTTTCCAGCACACCCCACCCCCGCAACTTGTACACCCTCTCCACAATCTGGAAAAATCAATTTATCAAGAAATCACACACCTAAAACTACAAAGCAGCTTTTATTCAATTGCTACCACAAATGCAGAATAGAATTAAGGCAGTATAATCCATTTCCACTTCTCCTTACACAAGCTTTTGTACAGTATAAACAATAGCAATTTGAATAGACAATTGCAAATTTCCCATGAACCAAGCTTTTTGCTTTTCCCTTGAATTCTAGAGAAAAATCATTTCCCTGGGTCATCAAGCGTGCTAATACGAGATGTCTACAGCTTCACAGTGAGTCTCAGTCCACGCAGCGGCAAGGGGAGTGGCTCTTTCTCCAGACCCCTTCCTGGCCCCCGCCAGGAGGCTCAAAGGAACAAGGCTTCAGAGCAACAATCAGGTACAATTTCCATGGCAGCACTCCCTTCACTTCCACTTAACAGGTGTCACCTCACCTCAACTTCCTTTTGGAAGAAAAAGGGCAGGAAATGTCCAAACAGATTCAAAAGTAAATAACTACCTCGATGTTCCTGCCATGCCACCAGGCACGAACATTTATTTTCCTAAGAACTGATCAAATCACAGTCTTCAAATACAGGTCATATTCTGTTGCTGAAACTTCAAAGAAAAACTGTCAAGTTACTTTCACTTGAGCACATCTGCTTTTCTGACTGCCGTTACAATAGCGAGTTACACACTGAACAACAGAATGCTCGTGGTCACAGTCACTTCACAGACACCTTCACCAGGATGCTGGGAACACTGCGCATGCACTTCTCCCACCCCTCAAAGAATGGGAGAAGAAATCAGAAACACAACAAAGAGGAAAGCTGAGAAAAAGAGACACCGGAGTTGGAAAAACAGTGCAAGTCTTAATTTTTAGAGATCGCTGAGGGCTGAAGGTCAACTGCAGGAGGAACAGCAGAGTCTGAGGGGAAAGCCGCTTTATGAAGAAGCAAGGACACGCGTGCGTAGCTCTGAGAGGGTAGGACATCGAGGGGGAGTGTGCCAGAAAGGCTCCCGCAAGGGGCAGCATGCCAGGGGCTCTGCCTGTCTGTAAGGGCACAGGGATGGCCTTCTGCATTACATGTGCAAATCCCACTGGGCAGGGGAGCCCTGCCTGGCCACCTGCAAGCGCGGTTTCACACAGCCGTTTTGTCGGAGTCACCTTGCACATCAATAACAGCAAGCTCATGGTAGTCGCTGGTGGCAGCGGTGACTGCAGCAGGGTCAGGAGCAGCAGCAGCGGCAGCAGATGTGGGGGAGCCAGAAGCAGCGCTGGATGCAGGCTCAGAGAGGCTAGTGACATCAGAGGTGAGCTGGTGACTGGGGGTGGTGGTTTCAAGGTATGTGGAGGTGGCGAATTCAGGCTGGCCCACAGCAGCTGCCTTGGCGTGGCTGCTAGGGGCAGGCTCTGGGCGGCTAGTGAGTAGGGGATCCAGGTAGGCAGCTGCAGCAGGCTCAGGGCAGCTGGCAGCCAACTGGATGCTGCCACTAATGGGTGCAGGGTGGCTGGGGGCAGCACTGAGAGCACGCCTGCCAGCAGAGGAGTGGAGACTGCTAACAGACTGGGGGTGGCTGGAAGCAGCCTTGAAATGCACTGAGTCACCCTTGAAATGAACAGAGGCAGACTTGGAACGGGTGGAATCGGCCTTGAGGTGAACAGAGGCAGGCTTGGGATAGACTGTGGCAGCCTTGGGATGGCCAGTGCTGGGCTTCGCGTAGCCGGAGGCAGCCTTCGAGTGGCTGGAGGCCATCCTGGGGTATCTTGAGGCAGGCTTACGGTATGCAGATGCAGATCTGGATTGGGACTTGTGGTGGTCAGAGGCTCGGTCGAGGTGGCCGGTCGCAGCATCCCCAGGTAGTGGAACGTTCCGGATGCCCATCGGGGTTCCCTCCATGGCAGAACAGGTGCGGGCATGGTCTTGGTCACGAACTGGTTCCTGGGCTTGCTCATGGGCTTGGTCACGGGCCCGGGCACGGGCACGGGCACGAGCCCGGGCCTCTTGGGTCTCACGAATGTCAGTGATGAGGCCAGAGACGAACAGGATAGGGTGCCGAATAGCATGGAAGATGGCCCAGTACTCACGTCGGAAACTCTCATTGAGGAGCCCGTAGATCACAGCGTTGAGGCAGCTGTTGAAGTAGGCTATGAAGTAGGCTGCAAGATAAAGCCAGTTGGGGATCTTGCCTGCCATGTGCTTCGGACTGACAGCCACCAGGACAGTGAGCACATTGATGGGGCACCAACACACTGCAAAGAGGAGGAAGATCACAAACATGGTTAGAAAATTGCGAACCTCAGCCAGCTGGCGATCAGGATTCTGTCTAGCCGCATCCCGGACTGCCAGCACTTTGGTCCAGATTCGCACATAGCAGAAAGCCACGACAAGGAGAGGAAGGACAAAGTGGACCCCGACGATGGTCACCGTGAAGACGGGATTGTTCAGGTAGTTGAAGATGCAGGTGTAAGTGCGAGGATCGTACTCGATGGTGCCAATGTACATGTTGGGCAGCACGGCAAGGATGGCCATGACCCAGGTGATCACCAGGTAGACGTTAGTGTTGCGCACGCTGAAGATCCGCTCGTACTGGAGGCTGTGGCAGATGTAGCAGTAGCGGTTGATGGCGATGGCCACAATGTTGAAGATGGATCCGACCACGCTGAGCCCTGTGATGAAGCCGATCAACTGGCACTGGAACTGGCTCAGATCCCATCCCCCAACGGACATGGCGTGCAGCATCAGAGGGTAGGGGTAGATGGCCACCAGCATATCAGCCACGGAGAGGCTAACCACAAAGAAGTTGCCTGAAAAAATGCACGGGGGAGGGAGAAGGGAAACAGGGGGGTAGATAGTTAAGGTTTGGAAATCTACATAGCAACAATGAAGGAAAAGGCCAGCTGCTACCATGACTGCTTGAAGGTCTAGAATTAATTAATCTGCGTCCACAAACACATTCCAGGTAACTCTGAAGCCCAGCCAGGTTGGGGACTCCCATCCCTGACCTGTTCCTTACATCTGTGCCGTGGGAAAAGCAGCCAACGCCAGATGGAGGCCAGTGAGTGCCATAGACCTGTAAAGAAATACTCAGGCTGCTGTCATCTTAGACACAAAATTAAGTGGCAAGTCTTTCTGTGCTGGGGGTGGGGTAGACAGGAAGACGGTGAGCTGAAGGGATCTCTGGTGGCTGAAACAGTTGGGTGAGGGATGTCGGGAAGAAATGCGTGCTCTCCCTTCTGAGAAAGGGGCTTGGAAACCGTGCTTAGCAGAGTCAGAGTCACAGACACCTAGGCCTAATACTTACCATTTCCCAGGCAACATAAGAGCCAACAGAGGGTGGGGTGGGTGGCCTTTTGAAATGTAATCGGGACAGAAGGGAAGGACAGGGGAGGGGGAGGAAACTGACAAGGATCTGCCAGGAGTAGCAGAGTGCACCTCCACCCCACCGCTCCGCCGCCCGCACCGGCACGCGCACTTGAGGGCTGCGCTCTGCACCAGACTCCCCGACACTTAGCAGAGACTGCTCAACCGGTTGGAACTTTTTCGTCCGACTTTTCACAAATAGGAGAGGACAGCAGCCTAGGGCAGACGCAGGACCCTCTTTGTTTTGGGTGGAATACCTCGTTGCTAATTAAGATTGGTTGGTTTGGGCAAATATTGCCCTGGGAGAAAAGGGCAGACGGACTGCTGGCTGATTCTGCTGGCGCTGCCAAGATCCCGCCCCAGCGCTCTTTCCACCAAAGAGGTTCTTTCTAGGGTTTTCCCTCAAAGTAGTACATTCCAGGGCGAGGGAGGGAGTTGGGTAAGCGAGTAAGAGAGGAACCCCTAAACAAGACCCCCTACACACACACACACACACACACACACACACACACACACACACACACACACACACACACACACACACTTTATTTGAGCTACAGACAAAAAGACAAGGGAGGAGCAAAAGCGAGAAGGTGGACTTGACTGGTGCTCGCTGGAGCTCCGAGGGTCCGCACCGCCGCATGGAAGGTGAGAGCCAGGAAGCGGAGAACTCACACACACACACCAGAGTTTGCTCGCAAACTTTCAAGGACCCTGTGTGCTTAGCAACTTCTCCTCCCGGCTCAGGACTCCCCCAGATCCCAGGCTCCTCTTCCCCGCACCCGACCGGCCAGCCCAGCCAGTCCTCTCAGATCACCGCGTCCCAGTCCCCACGTAGGCTGCCAGGGAAGTTGACCCCGAAGCTCTTCAGTGCCGCCTTCTCCCACCCCCAAGCCCCAGCCCGCGGCCCCTTCGCCCCTCCTCCTCCCTCCGGACCTTTCCCTCCCAATCCGAGAACAAGCCCACAGCTTTGCTCCATTGGTCTCCGGGACACTGACACTGGTCTTGGCGCCCAGCACCATCCTGCGCTCCTCCCCAGTCCCTCTTGCTACGGGATAAGTTCCCAAGGCACCGGCCAACTGTTGGGAAATCCCCTCGTCCCCAACACCCCAGCGTTTTGTACTGCTCTGCCTCCCGCTTTAGCTGGGCTCTTTTGGTTCTCCTCTCACCGCTGCCCCTTCAGGTTCTGCAACCTTCTCTGCCACTCCCACCCGCAACACCAAGCTCCGGAATCTCTCTGCCGCCCCATCTGCGACTTTCCCGGACCCGGCTTACGGATCTTGGGGTCTTGGCTGCCTCCGCCGTCGCTGTCATCGCCTTCTGCGCCCAGCCCGCCGCTCGCCTCTCTCCGCTGTGCGCCCTCGGACGGGCGGACGGAGCTCGGCTCCCGCGGGCTCAGACCGTCCTGCTCGGTACTCGGGCGCGGGGTTCGTGCTCCGCCGGAGAGCTGCGCAAAAGCCTCTCGGAGCTCCCAGGGCTGCGGCGAGTGGGGTCCCGGCCGTTTTTGAGCGCCGCCGCGGCGCTGCGCTCAGGTAAGCGCCGCCGCGGCTGCAGCGGCAGCCACGAACTTTTTCCGGAGCCTTTTTTTTCCCCCCCACAAAGTTTCCCGGAGCGGGTCAAAACAAGCAAAACCAGGAGGCTGTACTTCGGCACAGCGCGGCCACCTCTTCGCTGTTGGGCTTGGCTGACTGTCCCAGGGAGCCCGCCCAACTCTCCGCTCCGGTGCCGGCTCCCTCCGCATTGGGACGGGTTTTGGCTAGCTGCTGCACACAGCCAGGACGCTGGCTAGCGCTTAAATGCCTTAAACTAAGTCCCTGAGCTCCCTTTTACTTGAGGAGTTCTAAGCTTACCAGACTTCCACAGAGCATCGCCTCCGCCAACCTTGTGGGGAATTTAGGTGCAGGGACATTCAATTTCAGTGCACTATCCACGGGTTGCCCATTTTGGCCACCCAAACTAACACTCTAGGGGCTGCCAGTTGCTACACATTGGTAAGAAGAAAAAAGGGTGGCTTACCAGAATTTCGGAGCTTCTTGTTCCTTGTTACAGCCAAAATGACCATGGAGTTGCCGACCAGGTCTGCCACAATGGTAATAACCATTGCACAGAAAATGAAGGTGACTACAGCTGGTGGGTAGTCTGGCTGTGGCAGCTTACAACCAATACAGCCGAATGGGGTGGGAACCGCTAGGGTTGGCCCTGTGTTGCTTTTGGAGACCTCCATGATCTTCCAGTATGCTCTGGCTAAGCAGCCGGTCTGGACAACAAACACCTGCTCTGTGACCAGGAGCTCCGGGAAAGCCTGCCACCCTCTATGAGAGTCAGAGAGGGAATGACAGCCTCCTGTGCCTCTCCGATGAGCTTTTAAAGCCTCAAGAGGCGATTAGCCCAGCCCCTAATCCTTCCCCTTGACCAATCAGGGCTTTATCACCACCCCCAACCTTGACACCACCTCTTCTTGTAGAAATCCATGGCGAATGAGCTGTCCTCTTGTTTTCCCTCTGATCAGCCACTCCCTCCCAATTCCCCAGGTAGCTTACATCGTGACTAGCTTGGAGTTCAGTTCCCCCACCCTACCAGACACCTTTGCATTCATTTCTAGCAAATTCTTCTTGGTTTCCACACAAACACCCAACAAACAGAAACACCTGTAGATTGCAGAGCAGGGCCAGAATGGATTCCTGGAGTTTCTCTGAAAGTACAGGGCTAGCCCAGGGCAGCTGCACTCCTGAGTAATCAGCACCTCAAATTCTCTTTGGCAGACATATCTCACTTCTAGCACTTCTGGCTGTCAGCAGTCTTCTGCATCCTGCACCCTGCATCCAGCTGCTGAGGGGTCTCATCTCAAACATGAGTCCTTAAATGTAGGGAATTTATCCTAGATTGGCACCAGCAGCCAGATGACTCCCTTAGTGGTAACCTTAGTCCGTCTGGGTCTTAGTTTCTGCATAGGGAAATGTGCCCCTAGCCTGACTCTAGAAGTAAGGATTGGTGTGCACCCTGGGGGCAAGGCAAGGCCACCAGTGGCCTCTTGGTTCCCAGCTTCAGAATGAAGGGGGAGAGAGCTCATGTGCTCCCACCTGCCCGCTCCCAGGCGGCAGGAACTTAGAGGGCAGCTTTTGGAAATTATAGACCAGGTGAGAACTCCCATTCCTGGAGCCTTGGGTTTTTGAAATCTCCCTCCCCCACCCTGCCCCCCCCCCCCGCGCGCCCAGGGTGGGGGCTGGATCGAGAGGCCCCGGTTTTTCTTCCCCAGTCGGGGCGCACTGCAGTGTCCACTGGGTGTAGCTGAGCAGTTAGGTTGAGTGCTTCAGTGCCGGGGCGGGAAGGACAGGGAGCTAGCCACAGACTGGCTCGCGTCCCCCAAATCCCGATTGGAACTTATCTCCGTTCTGCTCCCTTGTCATGTACTGCGGAGGCAACAGTTCTCATTTTCACCCCATCCCAGTTCCCTCCGTGCCATCACACCGCACACTTCCCTCCCCAGGCAACACGGTTCCCTGGCGTACGCCCAGGGTCTTCAGGCGGGCGGGACAGCGGAAAAGCGAAATGTTTGGGCGCACACAGTGGGACGCGATGCAGATACTCCCTCCTGCGACAACTTTTGTCACGGGCGTGCATTTCGGCGGGCTGCTAAGAGTTATGCCCCCTGTAGAAATGCTACCCGGAAAACCTCAGCCACTAGCCCGAAACTTGGTCCAGCCTTCTTGCCGCGGTTGGGGAGAGGGGTTGCACTGGTTGGGAGCGCCACCGTCTGGACGCAGCCACCGCCCTGCCTCCAAGAGGCGCGGCGCGGGCGGCTGTGAGAGGAGGCGGGCGGGGTGTGGGCTCCGCTTGGGGTTTCCGCAGACGGAAACAGACCCCGCTGGAACCAAAGACAGTACGCACTTTTTCTGACGGACAAGCGCCAAATGGGATTGTGTCTGCCCGTTTGAATATGCACTCGCGAATCTGCCCGGCCACCCCGAAGGGAAGGGGATCAGACGCGAATTACAGTGTCCCGCCTGAAGCGTTTGGACATTCGTTCTCTCATCGCCTCTCCCTGACCAGAACCCCAGCCGGGCTTTTTCCCGTCGCCTGTCTCATCCAGGATTTTCCCGCAAACATCCGACCCGAGGACCCGCGCTGCCGTCGTCTGTCCCATTACTAAGCGCTATGAAAAGAGTCCGCTTATTTTTGTAGGACCCGGGTGAGGCGGCAGGCGCTGTTGCCTCCGGGGTTTGGAGCCTGTCACTGCAGGGTAAGAATTCGAACAAACAAAATACCTTTGAAGGCGGGGATGAAGGGAAATAAACATTCTCCGGACATAACCACACTAGTTGCTGTTCTCCCTAAACAAACTTGCAAGGAAAATTCACTGGCTGTTTCAGGCTTCATTGTAGTACTGGGATTACCCCCGCCCCCACCCCCACACACCTCTTGGAGCTTGGAGTTCTCAATATTAAACCTGCAAAAGAGATGATTGTTCTACTAAACTAAGGTGAAAGATTTCCGTACTCAGGTAAACGAATTTTTATGAATTGCTCTTAAGATTCTGAACATCGCCCCAGTACTAAGAAATACAGCTGGATCTTGGCTGAGTCCTACAGAGACATTAGCGCGAATAACCCGTCTGTGGACAAGTAGTTCCTGTAGAGTGCAAGAGCTAAAGTCCTGATGGGCAACAGCGCTGTTTGCGAGGGTTAAGATTCCAAACAGTTCCGTTCTCCCTAAAGCCGCTTTCTAAAAGGTTCCCTAGGCAGAGATTCTAATTAAAGGCATATAGAGGCGTGCTTAGTTTGGAATTCGAAAGACAGACATGCTGAACTTGAGATCTGAAAACTAACTACTGAATCCAAATAGAGGCGGCCAGGACACTCCCTGAAAGCTGAGAGCAACGGAGCCATTTCTGTGCATTGGGGATGGCACGTGCAGCTTCAAATTTCTGATTATGGCCATAGCTGTGAAGGTCACTTTTATCAACCCTTTTGGGATCTCTGGCCCTCAAGCACTATAATATATAATACCGTTTATGTAATTAGTGGCATTTTAAAATAACCATCTTACCATTTTCAAAAAACTCATCCAGGATATATTTTCTTACAATGTCATTAAACAGATGCAAAAGCTGAAGAAATGAAAGATTTTATTCAAAGTCATACCAAGGCCAGTGGAGGAGTGAGCCTCTTAAAGGGTATTTAATAGTGTGGACTCTGTTTTTATTCATAGCTGTTGTTAACTTGTACAGTTCACTAGCTTTCATGCTGAGTCCCAGAGTTTGGCAACAGTCCCCACCAGTTCATTCCATGGGATTTACATCACACTTTAAAGAAAACCTGTTCCCATTAGCACATTGGCAGTCTCTCCCCAACCCCACCCTGGACTACCCAGCTTTGAAAACCATTCACCTGTTTCTGCTTTTTATTATTATTATTATTTATACATTTGTCTATCATGGCATTCTCATGAAAGGAATCTCACAGTCTGTAGCTTCTTGGGCATGGCTTCTCTCCTTGTGAGATTCCTCAGTGCAGCAGCATGCCTTGGTGCTTCATGCCCTTTGTGGCTCTGTGACACGCCATTGTATGGATATACTACACGCTAAGCCATGCCTTGGGGGATAGATGCTTTCACCTTTCAGCTACTGTGACTTACACATTGTCAGTTATACACTGACGGCAGCTTCCTGCCATGTAGGGCTGGATAACTGAGAGCTGTCCCAGGTCCTCCAATCTTCTCTAAAATTATGGGATTAATCGCTTTAAGCCACATTAGATCAATGGTTGGCATTCAAATATATAAAAGTGATACTGTGAGTATCCAATATGCCTTCCAGTTTGAACAGAAGCAATATTCTCTGCATTCATTTCCACGATTGAGGAATGTCTGCCTCTTCCTGGAAAGAGGGAGCTGGGATACTCAGAAATGGGGAGGGAGAGCAGAGAAATCTTCCATCTCCTTAGAATGTGTGAGGAAGACGTGAAGTATAACCTATCAGGAACACAACAGGTAACTTATGGACAACAGACTGCAATTAGCATTAGAAAATAGTAAAACTACAAAGATATACAGGTAGAATCAAGAGCGATCCTGACAACCTCTTAACAGGAGGTCATATGCACAAAGTAGGGGGGGTCGGAACCCGGAGTGGAGCAGGAGGACAGGAGGAGGCTTGTATCCCAACCCTGGGGACTCTCGGATCCCCATCAAGGACTATCAGTATGAGCACAAAGGGCTACATCCCAACTGCCAAGGAGACCACGGGGAATTGGAGTGCCTTCGGAGTCCAAGAACTCTGAGGTCATCTACCCCCTTTTGGAACTACCACATGGGATGGAAGAAGCCCAAACCCTTCCTTGCAGGATCCAAGGTCATCGAAACAGTAAGTTTCCTTCAGGACTCAGGAGAGGAGCTTTCTCTGGTCCTCACTTAGTGCCAACTTTGGATCCCACCCTCTCTTGCAATGACCATCAGGGTCGCTCTGGAGCCCCCCACCCCAAAACACACACACACACACACACACACATATACACACTCACACATGCACGCACACACACAAATTGGAATAGACAGAGAACAACAAGGAAAGCTTAGAACCAGACAGGAAATGGTCAGCATGGACTCACACATACCTTACTAGGTAGGACACAAAGATTAGTTACTCCTCACAAAGGTATTGAAGATTTCTCTGCACACCCCTCCTAAAACTGTTCTGTTTCTCAATTGTTGACATATGCCTTGTTAGAGTTATAAGCCAGTTTAGACTATCCTAAAATATGCCAAGTTCAGCAAAATTAAGCTTCAACACTATAAACTGCTGAATGCTAAAGTGAAAATAGTCACGAGACAGCTGAATAGCACCCTATAGCCATTTTAAGGTGTATAGCAGCCGGTTCTGTGTATAAACTAAAATTGAAATGTCAATGAAGCAGTCACAGAATGTGATTAAGAGCTTGTATTTTTTAACATATTTGTTACTCACTACCATGTCAATTAATTCCATAATGTTGTAAATTGGTGTTGATGTTATGTTGTAGCTTTTCATTGATTGGGATGATATTCTGCCAGCTCTGCTTTCAGACCAGAGATGGTCTCCCCAAGAAACCGTTGAATTTATCTGGACAATAAGAAACTGGACTCTATGCCTACAATGAAAGAATCTTGACTGAATTTGAACTGTAATACTGCACCAAGGTGGAGGAATCCACCAAGCGGGGAGGGTTTGGGGAGGAGTTAGGGGAATCCCAGAGCGTATGAGACAGTGTCACATAATGCAATGTAATCAATAAAAAATAATATAAAAAAAGGAAGAAGCTAGGAGCTGCTTCAGACACCTCGAGCCCGCAGCCTCTGCTGCTCCTGATTTTGACTCAGTCTTGGAATACAAAAGCAAGTATGAATCTAGCTACAGCACTAATCACGTATTTGCTCTTGTGCAAGTTATTTAGCTTCTGCATCTCAGTAACTTGACTACAAAATGCAGATAACCACAGTATTTCATCATGGCTGATGAGAGGCTTAAATGAGATAACACATGTACTCTTGGAATATGACCCATTGGGCAGGTATTTGTTGTATCAGTTTAGCCACTACTTCCAATGCCTGCAGCTCATATTCGGATGTCTGAGTTCAGGTCCAGCTTCTACTTACCATTCTAGCTTTAGTTTCATTCTAGTATCCTGTAAGGCATCAGGTGATAGTTCAACTACTTGGGTCCCTGATGAGCACAGTGAGAGACCTGGATTGCAGTTCCCAGGCCTTAGCATTTGTCTGGCCCAGGTCCAGGTACTGGAAGCATCTTGGAAATGAACCCAGTAGATGGGATTTCTGTGTGTGTGTGTGTGTGTGTGCCTTTCAAAAATAAATATCAAAAAGTTAAAGTGGAGGTAGTGTTGTGGTTCAATAGGGGAAGTCACCACTTGATATACTCATATCCCAAACTGAAGTGCCTAGTTTAAGTCCCAGCTACTCTGCACTTGAGATCTAGCACCTTCTTAATGTGCCTGAGAAGGCAAACGAAGATGATTCAAGTACCTGGGCCCCTGCCAGCTACATGGAGTCCTAGATGGAGTTTCTGGATCCTAGCTTTGACCTGGTCCAGACCTGGTTGTTGTAACCGTTTAAGGAGTAAACCAATGAGTGCGAAGATTCTCTTTCTCTCTCTACCTCTCCCTGTCAACACTGCTTTTAAGCTAAATAAATGTATTTTTTATTTTAAAGGAAAAAATCACTACCTAGAACAGAGTAAGTATTCAAGAATCATTAGCCAATATCATCATCATCATTTTTCATCTTCATTATCATCCAGTTACTTTCTAATGCTCTGTCTAAACTCTATTCTGTTATACTTCTAATGAGGACAAGGGCTTTTGATGTAGCGCCCAGCTGGCTCAGGCATCCAGGTCTCTTGCCTCTAGGATATAACTTCTAACAGTTCTCACTGGCATCGCATCATCTAATCACCCCTCTGGGAGTGAGTCTTATGGAAAGGGAAATAAAGAGTGACTTGCCTTTTCACTATCCTCTCCCCCACTAGCACAATTTAAGTCTCTTGCACAGAAAAATTAAATTTCTTGACATCAGTCAGACTGAATGCATGAGGATAGCTGGTGTGGAGGTCCACAGGTGGTTGGATGTACTCCGTGCATGGTGAGTACCAATGGAGCATGAGACCAGCCCGGGCTAAGCAGAGCGGGGGCGGGGAGTGTGCAGTGGGTCTGGCTCCAGGTTAAAGGTCGGGCCAAGACTGCAGGAAGAAGGCTGCTGGAGCCTAAAAGTAACTGAGCAGGGATTTAAGCAGGAATCGAGTCACTGGAACCAAGGGCTAGTCCAGTCATGACACGGAGTGCAGTTTGGGACAGGTGCTGGTTTTTCCCTAATGAGATTGTCTGGTCCCATTTATTTTACCAGCTTGGGGACACTACTCACAATTGTGAAGTGAACAGAGAGAGTAATTATCCTCACTGCATCCTCTGGGCTTAATTCATCATGGTTGACACCACTTTATCTTCTCTGTGGGCTTGAGTCATTAGAGAGAGCAGGACACATCCATTTCATCGAATGCAATCAGGAACTCACCAAAATAATTAGCAAGCGGTCTTTCCAGAATCACAGTGCTTGATAAAGACTACAGGTTAGGTGGTTTGAATCAAAGGTTGAGCAGGA